GCGGCAAAAGAGGGTATTTCGATGATCGTACCAGCCCTAGTGTCTCAGTACATGCAACTAACAGTAGACAAGAGCGAATCCAACTTCGTCTTCCGGTGAGTTCAAACTACCAATCTCCTCATTACACGCTCTCAATGGCTATGAAGGTTATAGCTCGACAAAGATAAATGAGAAGGTACTTTGAAAACTACTTGCTTCTCTTGTAAACAATTTCAATTAGTTTCAAAAGTAAACAGAAATGCGACCATACTCGAGGCCACAACATCTTGGTCTTCACATCTTCAATAAACAGAAATGATTGTTAGAGAGACATCACAATTTGAAGAGAGAAGCTCACCTCATGTTTGTATGGTATTGGTCGGGTGAAAAGTTGCTATGGCTTTTGCAACCTTAGAGACACCCTGCCCAGCAGAGAATCACGAGGAAAAGAGCACGAAGTCCCTGAGACAACAAAAGTCCAAGCGGTCATAGGGAGGGTCGAAAGTTGGCTTCTTCGCTTAAAAGTAAGGCTAGTCAAGAAACCCATTAGTGGTACGTTTGTAAGCGAAATGGTAACGACTTAGGGGCGAGAAACATAGTGTCGTCGTTGCATGTTTGGATTTTGCTGAAAAAGCCGCAGTCCAAGAGGAGTTCCACGTGAAGACCGTAATACTTGGTCAATACTGCCAACTGTTTCAAGATCCAAGCTATTTTAACGGTATTTTAGGCCGGAAAAGATCACAATAATATGTTTAAAAACCAAGTGAAAAGTATTCCAGAGACAAATTAAGCAAAATGCCATGACCTTATCTGATATCCGTATCTGAAGTTACCTGTTTCGCTGGCTCAGAAAAGCGAAAATCACTAAGGAGGCCCTTCACGAAAATTCACACTCTTTCACCACTCTTAGACACTTAGTCCATACAAGTTGTGATTAATACGACAGCAACGCCATTTTGACATCTTCCACCTGTCTTTAGTGCCCCGAAGTCAAAGGGTCTGCTGTCATTTGATCAGCCTTCGACTAGATGCTAAAGCGAGACGATACTTCAAGGCTTGCGCCGGCTGAGGCGAAGAGATGAGCATTGTGAGTGCTGATGCAGAGTGAAGAGCACAAGCTTACTTCGTCGTGAGCAAGCAATCATTTTCGTAATCTAGTGCATGCCAAGCCAAGTCCTCCACTTGACGCGGGAAACTCAGCTGGAGACAACTCTTCACTATGCAGCATAAGGTTTTGCCAAAAAAATATGGATTTGTACTAACAAATTTCTCCACCGATAAATCTGGTAAATAGGCAGTAGACAAAGCTCGATTTGCCGATAAGCAAAGTATGGGGATGCCTGAGGGATCAGGACCGCGAAAGGACGCATCTTGTATGCGACTGGAGAAGACAAGCTGGACTAACTTTTAATAGTTTTCGTCCTTTTAATGTGTACTTCGTCTGCCTCCTCGTTGTCCCTTAACCCTTGATCGGTCTCCATAAGGTTTGTTTCGCTCTGTCGCGTCGACAAGTTCGAGGCCGACTGTGTCCGAGTTGTGTACACCGTTTCCATTTTGCCCGTGGCCGGATTGTAGCGTCGATGCGTGGTCGTCGTGCTTGCAGCCGACTCTTCTGCTCCGGCTAGCGGTTGCTGGAGGCCGTTGTAGGCGGGTCCAAAGCCGGAATCGGCAAAACCGGCGTCTGAAATGATCAGTCCGCCTCCGCCTCCGACTCCGAGGCCAGCACCCGAGCCACCCTGACTGGCCAGATGCCTGGCCGCCATTGTGATCGGTTGGTGCACGGTGATGAAGTTGACGCCGGCCGAGCCGGGCACCGACGACTTCGAGGCGAGCCCGGCCTCCAGGCTGGGGCCGAAGAATGAAGCACCTGCTGTACCAGCCAGTTCTCGTGGGAGAACACTGGCTGTGCAACTATTTGGTAAGGTTGGGGCAAAACTAGAGGTCCGATGGACCTGCGTCTCCACTCCTGTCGCCATCGCGCCGGCGGGATGGTTGCCAATGCCTGTGGTCCTAGCACCGGCCTCGACAAAGATTGGTATCTCCAGACGAGCTGAACCCTCGACCCCGTGGACGGGCTGAACTTGCAAATGTGTCGCCTGACAACCGGGCAGGTAAGAGTTCTGCGAGTCGTGCTGGCGCCGAGTTGACTGCATCGACATTTGACTGGTTTGGTAGGCTCGTCGGTTCTGCCCGGTCGGATAGAGGCTCAACGGAGCAGAGTCACCCGCCCCTTGAAGGTCTGGTGCTAGGACGGCCTGGTTGGCGGCTGTGTAGCTGAAGAATGGTCCTGATATGCCGGCAAGGCCGGTCGAACAGCCGGAAACCTGGCCGAACGCATCGGGAGTGGCGAAAAAGTTGCTCTCACCGGCTGTAGATGTTGCCATGGTGGGGAGATGCGGCAGAGGTGGAGGCGGAGGGGGAGGAGGGGGTGGAGGAGGAGGTGGGGCCGGCGGAAGTTGATGCGCCCCAGACGAGACAGACCCAACAACAGGATAGTAGACATTGGAGGAGACAAGATGGTTACGCGAACCAGACACGCCCTGATGGCCCAGTTGCCCCAGCGGATTGGTCTCGTGAAACTCTACCGACGGCTGTCCGCCGATGAGCTGGTCAGCCGAGTGCTCTGAAAGACAGCAGAACCAAGTGAACGGGGGTTGCCAGAAGCTTTGTGCATGGGTAGTCGGCGCGTCAGTGGTTAGGCCTAGAGTGGTGTGCTGGTGTGTGTGGTGTAGAGTTCGGTGTGAAGTACGGCATGATGTTGTGTGGTGCAGTGCGGAAAGGCGCGCGGTTTGCGGTTTGCGGTTTGCGGTGTGTCGTGTGAAATCACCAGATCCGCGTGGTGCAGAGTCGGGCGGGTTGGGCAAGTGGTTAGGAGAGCGGTGCAGATGGGATGCGCCAGCAAAGAGGTGCGATAGACAACTCCTAATTGGGTGCGCGTGAATGTGTGAACATGGTCACGCGTTTATGCGCCCATCTGGAGGAACGGGCATGAGCAAGTGACGCGAAATACATGGAAATAGGGTGAGCGGAAGACGAAAAAAGTGAATGGCCGATGCCTATTAACTGCTGGAGGACTAAGATGATGCCGAGTCAAAAAGGCCCGTCCAGAATAGAAGCACACGCTATGCATACACAAGACTCAGACTGGTACAGTAGGAGCTGAAGGCATCCAAAAGTTAAGTCGTACTGATCTTTGATTTCAACCATTCCACAGGCAAGCAGACACCAAGATGGCTATAGCAAGGCTCACAGTCTGGTCATACAATCAACTTTTTTGGCCCAAACAACCATGTAGAAGAAGTTAATTAGCCCACATAACGAGCAGAGATGGATTAGCCTTCACGTGAGTACCGGTGACATGCTCAAAAAGTTGACGTATTCATCCGCAAGCATCTAATTTCGGTCTGGGAACGAAATCAACTGGTAAAAAATGTAGGCCCGTTCCTTCCTAAAAGTTGTGGCTTTAATTCTTTGTCCCCATCGTGTAACTTGAGAACCTATCATAACAAACCCACAATTCAACTTCCATCATACCTTCCACCTGATGGTACCAATTCTCAAACAAAAGAATAAAAATGAGATGTATTCACCCTATT